ATATAGAAATTTCAAAGAATGATGCCAGAACAAAAATACTGATGTTCCTGAAATGTCACTGCTGGCATATTTCATGGAGAAGTTAAGAACTTTATAGATTTTCTCGTTCAGACACCCGATAACACATAAATTTGTTAATGAAGATAGTGACGGTCTTAGGCATTGCAGGAGCACGGCGTTCTGATGAGTTATGCAAACTTACTTTAGACAACGTCAATTTCAAAAATTTCGATGACACTATTGTACTTACAATTCCAGATTCTAAAAATGGTATGTCACGTACCTTACAATTACTTCTCGTCTGGGTTCTGTTTGTTACCTAGGAATTCTCAAGAAATTTATCAAGATTAGAAATTAAAACTGAAATTTCACACTTTTCTATGCGCTATCAAGCAGGGTAGATGTTACAACCAACCAGTCGGCTAGAATACCCTTCCTATGATTCCTAATAAGATTGCAAAGTTTTTGAAACTAGAACATCCTGAAACATATACAGTCCATCCATTCCGAAGAACATCGGGTTCTGTTTCTCACCTAGGAATTCTCAAGAAATATACCAAGATTAGATTGGAAATTAAAACTGATATTTCACGCTTTTTTTATGCGCTGTCAAGCAGGTAGATGTTACAACCAACCAGTCGGTAAGAATACCCTTTCTATGATTCTTAATAAGATTGCACAATTTCTGAAACTAGAACATCCTGAAACATATACTGGCCATTCATTCCGAAGAACATCTGCAACGTTACTGGCTAATATAGTATTAGCAATCAAGACACATGGTTGGTGGAAATCAGCCACAATTGCAGAAAGTTATGTTGCTAACAGTTTAAGTAACAAAAATGAAATAACCTATATGATTCTTTACAATGACATTTCAACTCCAAGTTCTAGTAGTATGTCGCATCATGCTGTTTTAATGGATCAGTAAGATAATATTGAGCCTCCGGTGACTGAAATGGAGCGGTCAAATCATTTTGAGAAAAATGTGACAATTAGTAAACGCGAGGAGAATAATTATCCAGATTTTATAAATGTTACTAAATGTAATAACTGTACGATTACTATAAATATTCATTCATAATAATTAATAAAATGTAATGTTCATCAAATATGAATAATTTATTTGTTCATAAAATATGCATTTATAACTCGAAATCGCTTTTTTCCTCCCGTTGTCCATAGCAATTTCCACTTCTACGGTAAAATGCACTTACCTCCTTAAAAACAATGTACTAATAGTCTATTTACTATAGTGGGAGCAGATAAAAGACTATATTGATATTGATACAGTGTATGAAAATTTAATCCTTGTGATTTCTAAGAAAAGTCAAATTTTCACATTGGGAGAAGCTTTTCAATTGCTGCTCCTTTAAAAAAATTTCTTCGGTACCAATTTTAGTTTAGCAGTTTAGTGTGTCTTATATTGATATTAGTGTCTTTTCTCATAAGTTCTAGACGACAATGACGACGACACACTGTTCACAGTTTTTTGTTGTCTAGGCTTTAAGAATTCCTCGTAGTTATGTTTCTTCTGTTTCTAATTGTGTTTCGTTATGTCTCCCTATGCTTCTAATTCTACCGTAATCAAATGAATGTGCCTACTGTCTATAAAATGATTGGATAATTCCAATTTTACTACTTACTTATTGGATTAAGTTGATTGTCAGTTATATATGACTTAATTGTTGATCACTTCTAAATGGCAATGTACCTAGAGACAGTAAATGAGTTAATGGAAAATATTTAGCCCACCCAATATTGTGGTTCTCTACATGAAGAAATATGTAATCATTTTCTGTGGCTGTGGTTAAAACAATAATTGCATCAATTTATATTTCATTTGGAGTCCGCAGATCGAGTGAAATATGTTGCAAAATGCAAAATACTAATCAGTCTTTCTAAATTAATTGGTGTGTAAGTTTTCTTATATCTTATGGCAATGAACTGGAACAGAAACCCTAGCTGGTCGATAAATATAGACTTCCCCTTCAAATGTAGTCATTTTTTAATTAAAATAATTGAAATCAATGGTAGAAGCAAAATTGACTTTTTGAATATTGAGGTCAATTCTGGTTGCTTACCACCAACTGACCAATAATCAATGGTTATGGCTTGATGAACATGCCATTTTTGTTCCCAAGTCAATTTATAATGTCCAAAGTGCACTGTGCTTTACAATAATGTCCTATTGGATATTTGGCATGATTTACCGTAGTAAATGTAATTGCCGTTGAGTTTTTGGGTGTTCTTTAAAGTAATTGTTTATATCTGGTTCTTCATTATTGGTGTGTACAAGAAATCATAAAGCATATTAAAATTTCGATCAGGAGGATGCTTAACGAAAACTTTCTTTCATTAAACATTAAAGTAATTTATATGTATGACATAATTTAATGAAATTTTGGAAATTATGGGCGATAACTTCAGGTCCTAAACAGTATTTATACTTATTTGTTTCTTCATCATATACGGTGTGCTTGTATTTGAAGACCAATATATACATTGAGAATACCACCGAAATTGTTGTAGTTGTGTTGGGGTAGGTGTGTTTTCTTTAAGTTATATTTATGAGTACTTAAAATAAAATTATACGTGCACTAAAAATAAAAACGAGAACATGCTGTTTTGAAAAATTTTGGCAGCCTATATATCTTGTAAAAAAAGTATGTATTCAAATAGAAAAATTCCTGTAATATAGAACTGGTTCGTGTTGGTATTTGTATGTGTTTATATTTACGCAAAATCCGGATTATTCATACGCTCTAAATACTTTTATCGACTGTATACTGCGACGCAAATAGCAATCGCTAACACATATTATCACATCATTAGTTTGCCTATCATTTATACAAAGTTAGTTGAACTCTCGAGCGGAAATATAGCTCTGGTAAGCCGTTACTGGGGACTGGCAGACGAAACGGTTATTGAAAAACACACCTGTAAACTGTTACATTCGCCTGATATCGCTTTAAGTGATGTCCAAATAGTTGATGTTTGTTTTTATTATATGGGCTTTTGGAAAGTGGTTTGGTTTTTCGGGCAATGCAGCTGGTATTTTTTAGTAGATGTCACGAGAAGTTCAATTCAACCGTACAAATAATTCAAAATAATAATATTTACTCATCTGGGCAAAGGAAAACTTTTTTATTTCTTTATTTCCCCTCTGGACCTTTTCAACAAAAAGTTTTAAGGCAGTAATGAAAACTACAGTGTGATTATTCACTGCGGAAGTCTCGAATACGGTGCAACGCTGCTTAAATTACGAATAAACTGCAGAATGATGAGCGCTCTAGAATGAATTGAATTTTCTTGTGAATTTCATAGATCACTAGAAATACGTAAATAGAAAACGTAGAAAGGTTAAATAATTTTGTAACTGTAAATACATATTAAAAGCTTTAAATTTTCAGGTAATTATCATTGAGCATCGACTAGTCTTATTAAAATGTTTCTGATTTTTTTAGATTATTATCCAATTTTCAGATTTTCTGACAGCACTTTTTTACTTTCTTTACGGGGGTATATTAGTTTGTAAGTTAATTTTAAATCCAGTTACATTTGAGCAAAAAATACGCAAAAATTTACGCAGTTGGCCATGACCATTATTATAACGGTAAACATTCTATTAGCATGAGCCTCTCTTCAAAATGTGGATTGCGTAATGACTGAAAAATTTAAAGTTTCTAATGCTTATTCTAAAAAAGTTATTCAACAGGGAAAAAAATGGTCTTAAAAACCGGAATAATTAGAAATACTTTTTTTTTTCAATTTTTTTTTAAATGGAAAACCAGAGAAACTTGAAATAAAAACATTCGTTAAAATATGTTTAAATATTCAGGACTTCATAACCCTGATCTTAAAATTAGTGCAACTCGGGCACAGATTAATAAATGATAAATATACTATAATATTTTATTTGAAATAACAGAAGGTAATAGAAAATAAACAAAACAGCAGTTCTCTATAATAAAACAGAAAACAATAGATTTAAGTGTTTTTAAACAAATTTCAACATAGGGGCATATAGGGAATTAGGGAAAATAGAAAAAAGTTTAAAGACAAAATATTATTATGTAAATTCTCATAAAAGGTCCTTGTCTGATACTTCTGGTTTAGAGCGAAATGTATTCAAAATCTGTATCTTCTAAAAACGAAATTAGCTTTTTTAGTTATTATTTTTTTTAAATATACATATAATAATAAATTCGATATTTATATCGGCAAACATAGCTATAGGAAATTTTGTTGTAGATTTAAAGAGTTCAGTTTTTCCGAATTTTTCCATTTTAAAACAACATATATTCAAAATATTTATCTTTCAATAACAAAATGATCTTTTTAATATTTTAATCATTTCAAATGGTTATCTTTTTTAATAAATAATAATAAATTAGGTATTTATATATCAGCAAACATAGCTGTAGGAAATTTTGTCGTAGATTTAAAAAAATAGTTGTTTTTCGGAATTTTTCCGTTTTTTCTTATTTTTTAAACAATTTTCCCGACTCAAGAAATTTTGTAACTCTGGAAATCTACATTACTACAGTTTTTTACAGTTGACTTGTTTTAAAGTTCTTCAATCAAGTGATTTTGAAATACAAGCCTGGGTAGTTCCTACAACAAAAAATTATTTAACTCAGTCGAATAATATTTTCTTATGCACTTATCATACCGCATATGCGTTCCTTTATTAATTAAATATCAATAAATTCATTTGAAACAGTAGTTAATATTGGCCACTAACAAATTGCAATTTATTTCAATCCATTACGTTTAGGATCCTAGCGATCGTTTACATCGCATGTGAATTTATTATATATACACAACAACGGTAAACAATACCAAAAATAAACAAATCCGCGTAGAGGCGATTCGAATTTTAGCGCCGCGAATGCGACCGCCCGATTGGTCGCCAGGGAACGAGTTCCTCGTTCGGACCAATCGCGTCGCGGCCTCAGCGCCGACGACGGATCCAAAGCCGACTCGATGTTCAGTGCTCGGCGGCTGCGGTCATGATAACTTCTCCCCTGCTGGGATATTGTTGGCTGCCTAATAACTGTGATTTCAGTAGTGTACCAAACGGCCCGTTGAACAAAATTTTCGGACGTTTCTTGTGGAACCAGCAGTGTTTTCTGACTATTGGACAAGCCGTAACTCCGTATGTCGGATTTTGGAATAGTGTCGCATTTTTTCATCATTCCACACTACCCCTGCGAACTATGGAAACAAGGTACGGATATTTCTAATTTATGAATTTATATTTAAAACTTCTATTTCGGTCGACCTAGTGACTGTCTTTAATGTTACGCACCCGCTTGCCAAGATCCATCTTTTTGCACGTAATTTTATTTCTGGCCCGAAAAAAAAATCCCACGGCAAAACCTAGTCATTCAGACGCATCCAACGACGATAAAGTAAGGCAATTGTTTTGCCCCAAACTACGTATACCCTCGTATCGACTATTGCAGTGGCGGCGAAACATTGTAGGGTGTGCCGGTTCTCCCATATTATCCCTTTTTTACTAATTACGACGGTCAAGTCATAATGTTGGGTGTGAGCACATTACCGCTAATTTGTTTTATAATCGGGACTCGCATATGAAAGTGAAATTAATTTAATATTAAATTCATGAATGGACGATAATAACATTTAATTCATAGTTAATTGTGTTGCATGAAAGCTTCGGGTGTATTTTAAAACAAACATATCACTATAATTTAACATATTTAACATAACTCTACTATTTGTATTCACCAAATAGTTCGATAATCTTTTAAGTAACACCCCTTTTTGTAAAATAATGTGTAAACTGAGAAAATACAATTTCTTTACATAATTCCCTGCCAGAAATGAAATCTCTTCTAGAGGAAATTATTTAATACCAATTAGAGAAAAACAAAAGTAATATTGTATATTATTAACTATAATAGATAAAATTCTCTAGAAAAAAATGTTTTATTAGTTGAATAATCCCTACATTAATTAGTACTTCCTTTTTGAAAGTCTGATATTATCTTCGTACAATGACGTAATTTTTTTATGATAGTTATTAGGGAATTTGTAAAAGTTCTTGGTCATATTCTTTGCTTCTGGATTTAAGCAATCATTTAAATAATGCTTAATTGTAGTTTTAAATATTTACTGTTGAAAAATCGCTTTATCCTAAGGATGGCCTTTAGCTATTTAAACGAAACATGTAAATTCATTTTTAACTGCATGTGGCAATTTTAGCAGCAAGGACAAGGTTGGTTATAATTGTCGCGAAACTGAATGGATATCTGCCGCCTAGTATCTGCCTATATTTATCATCGTTAAAAGAATTTTTACATTTTATCTCCTAATTTCATTGTTTGACGTTTTTCTTTTATTTATCATCATGGGCATTCAGTTGATTACAATGGTTTACAACAAAAATTACTTTTTTATGCAGGAACTATAAACAATATTTTAATTACGGCTTTGTTTTTGAGTCATCTATGCAAATTATGTTATTTATTATTGTTTTTGTTCAATAATGTGCGGAATATATTGCCATTGTTCGTATGATATTGTGTGCTTTGTTTTTTATTGTGAGCAGCTTGGGCTTTGTCGACAGAAGATAAGAATGCAGAAATATAATGCACTAAGTAATTTAAATATGTGATTTAATACTATTTTATACATATTTACATTTTCCCGTATGGAGAAAATATGTTTCTTTATGGCAAAAGTGTCAATTCTTCTTTATGAGGAAAGCAAAGTTTTACAGTTTTATTTTCCTAAATTCTCCCCAAATTATATATAATCCTTTGGTACCAACTATCTAGGTATGTGAAGAAGTATATCCATACTGTATATTGAATTCATGTTGCAAACTTTCAAAGAAATTGTCTCCTTGTTTGTAACAACTCTAACACCAAGTTGTACAAAGATCAACACAAAATTCAGCCCCGATAAATAAATTAATTCATTTATTTATTCAAAATTAAATAAATGTATAAGAGCTAACAATAAAATATATAGTTTTACAAAAAAGAATCTTAGTTCAGAAAAAACTAATAGAATTATTTACTGATCATTAAACAGATAATTTTTCAGTAGGATTGCTCTTGTAAAAGGTTGCAAGAAGATCAGAGTAATAAAAAATTCGCCATTATGATAAAATTTTTATATGTATTTGGCCTATATTTTGTAACTGAATATGAAATTTTGGTATAAATATCGTCTTGTTGGTATTTGTGTAATCGTAATTCTCTCCTTTAATGATACTTTTGACATTTAGGGTTAGATTCCAACATATTCCATTTTTTTAAGGTAAGTGCTCAGTGGTAAAAGGCCAACCTGTTCATTTAAAGTAATTGTTATAAAAAGTTGTAACATGGACTTTTTATGCATTTACACATCGTAGGTATCTGATTTCGCATGAGCATTTAGTTTTTTTATACATATTTATTTATTTAAGGTTACCGTCATCACATTGCTGGATTGAATTACAGATTTTTTCGACGTAACAATTTATACAGATGATAACACATAGCTGTGTAACAAATAATCGTTTCTCTTCAATGTCTAAATTTTTAGGCAAACAAATACGTCTAAATAAACATTCATTATACAGAATGCTTTTAAAACAAGTGTACGATTTAGGTGTATTTCGAGATCATTTGATATGAAATAATTCAAAATTACCTCAGCAATTTTCAGTATAAATTAAAATCAAGATATATAATTATATAGAACTTTATACAGGTTGTTTCAGGATTAAGTCGACAAACTTTAAGGAGATATTCCTCATAAAAAGATAAGAAAAAAATCAAGTCTAATTTTTTTTCCAGAGACGCTTCAATTTCCAAATATAGGGCGTTAAAGATTTTTAGAAACATTTTTTAAATAACTTCTAAATGAAGAAGGTTATTTATTTATACCAAATTTGGCATCTTGACATCTTCTTATAAGATACCATTTTTTATGGTTATGGGGACTCAGACTCATTAAATTATATAAAAAAAATAATACGGCCCAACTGAAAATAAAAAATAATGCTGTTTTTGGATAGAACAGTTTGTTATTGACAAAAAGTGTACATTCACTTTTTTCCTAACTCTTATAGTTTCATGGCAAAATTGATTTTTCAGAAGGGTGCTTCTAGATTTTGTCGATAAATTTTAAAATGAACCTCAAAAATTTTCAAGGAGTCTGCTGTCAAGCAATGTTAATTTGACGTTTAAAATGTTATTTTGCGAATTGTTGCATAAATTATCCATTAGATAAAACAGTTCAAACTAATAATAAAAATAAATTTAATAATGCCAACCATATTTTCGAACAATGAATATGTCATAATGTCAAATTTTGTTGACTGGTTAATCTTACTTCAACTTATCTGGCAGTGTAGCTTATAAATTCAATGATCTTAGAGACGAATGTTGCGGTAAACAAGAAGTCGGTGTTTTGTAAATCATTTTGTAGTAGTATTTCATTCCGTTTAAAACAGAGTAGTTGTGTAAAATCAAAATATGTAATTCTCACTTCAAATTTAATATCGTTATTTGTTTTGTATTCTATTTTTTAAATGAATTTTTAATATTCTGTAGTTAGAGGTTATGCCTTTGAAAACAAGTGGTGCCTTCGCCTATCAGTTCCCGTTCTAAATTAACTGCTTTTAGTGAATTTTTATTAGTATTGTGTTAAATTTGATATAGGTTGTTGACTAAATGTATTCTGTAGCGACAAACTGTTTTAAGGAGGTATATCGGGTTTATTCAAATACACAGATGTACTTGAAATTTATATAGCGTATTTATCCAGTGCTCCCTCTGTGCGTCATATTTTTTTGATTTTTTTTTTTATTCTAGATTTTGAGATATTGTTGTTGAAAGTTGTTCATTTTAACATAGGATTATATGGCGAAGATAGACGGTGCGGCTCTATTTGCCCATAACTGAGGAAAACAGTGTGAAACAAAACTTTTCCATAGATAGTACACAGTATTATCTTATTTTTGATGCAAAACTAATGTAAGTTTTAAACATAGTACAGCTCTATTAATTAGAAACAGAAACCAATAATTGGATTTCTGTCTGACTTGATGATTAATGTGGCAACGTCGCAATCAGCTGACAGCAAGGAGGGAATACATTTGAAAGACTTGATAAAAACGAAATTGATTTCAAACATATACATTTTTCCTAAATCCCATGTACATTGTTATCAACAATAAATTATCCACAACAGATGATTTTTTGTAATGTTTTTAAAAAACTAGATTAATTAAAAAAGACTAGGAAGCTGTGATATATTTATTGGAATAAAAAATACAGTTGATAAATCCTTTTAATATATTTAATGGTTTATAAAAACATCGTAATCATTACCCAGCAATATTTAGGGTTACATAAAGTTTTCTTTACTTGATTAATATAATTAGTAATACTTGAGATAAAAGCATTTGTACGGAATAACAAAGGAACATAAATATTTCTCAGCAAACTTTATATCTAAAAAATTAGTTATAGTTGCAAAACTTTTGTAACATTACTAAAATAGAGATTAAAAACACGAACAGTGAGTAATAATGTAATTTCTATCACAGAACCTTCAAAATTGCATCCAACATTTTCTTTGACTTGGACGAGAGATGGGCGCGAGTGTCATTTCATTTCTTTAGAACTAAATTAACATAATTCTCGTTGTTTTACCAGTTCACATGATTTACGGATTTTAAATAAAGGATACAAATCTTCGCGAGGATAATACGATATATTTGCTATATATAATAATTATATTGTACATAGTTTACACACAATACATTTTTGAACGCGTACGCATCTTTACCCGAATTTGACGCGCAATATCTCCGATGTCCGAGGTCTGTAGGTTCGCAGTGTGTACAACTGCTAGTCAATTATTAGCGCTGTTGCCACATCTACATAGTCTTTATGCGTTTATTAAATATAATTTAAAACTACTTAAATATGATATTTTTATGTTGTTAATTTGTCAATATTTCTTTACTATATAGATAATGTTTATCGCAAATAATTTCAATAGAATTTAATTTTTTCAAATTGGCAGCGAGTTTTAGTCCCATAAGAAAGCATGGGACCCCCCCATGCGCTCCTCACTTCCCTCGGACCCCGATATACCTCTTTAAGTTCCTTATTTTTTAATAATTAGGCAACCCTTTATTTGTCTAATTTATTTCTTGCGTAATTTAACATTTACTTTTTAAATAGATTTTAAATAAAAATA